CATGAAACAAAAATGAAGAGAAAAAGAGAGATGTTGTAATGTGACGCATAGCGCGTAGGCAATAGACGAACGATCCGGCAAATTTAAATATCAAAATATCTCTTCGACTATGTCTTTCATCAGACGCGCGTACTTGACTTCAGAACACGCGTACACCTCGTAAATATATGTCAACGCTTTCATGTATTGCAAAATGAACGATGATCGACATGAAATTTTGCAAGATCTCCGAGACAAATGGTTTGGTTAGTTTTTGGAGATAGAATCAGGCGAATGAACAAACGATTTTGTAGCCATGTGGAAAAAAAAGTCAACTCTGAAATTCAAGTTCATAGAAAAAAAAACGTTTGTTTGTTTGCCCATCGATCATCATTAGTTTCTACCAAATACTATGTGTATTCTCCGTTTCTGCTATGTTCTTTTTTGTAACGTGTATTGTGACTTTGCAGAGTCATTAATTTAAATGACCGCGTTAAATTTAAAGGAATTAATACATCAATTATTTCCATTTGACCCAGTAAACGAACAGAGTCTCTGATATGCAAACAGCCTATTAGCAACGCAAAATGAGTTTGATTTCCTTTCGACGACTTGCTCTAATAATATTCTTTACGCGATCGCATGAATCGTGTTTGATTAGAAATTGGTTATCATCAATCACTCGATAAAATGTGAAAAAATGGTATGACTATTCACTATATCTATAGAAAAAGGTGTTTTAAGCACCAAACCAGCGCTAGATACGTATCGCACAACGATTACCGGTATTCATTACTGATTTTCATGGGTTCGATTATGAATAATTTGCAAATCGCTTATTAGTTTTATTGCCTACAATTAATAAAGACTTAACGGTTAATAAAATGATATTTTCATGCTTCCTGTCATTCAAAACTTTGTTGCAAGTGCGTACTTGCACTTCTTTAGTAATTTCGTTTTCACAATGAATATTTGAACCAGTTCCAGTGGTTCTCATTCTAAAAAAAGAACACAAAGGAAATACATCTCAAGCTAAGTAAGTGAGAATAATTGTAAGCAGTGCAAATAGCAAATTGTTGGAGCATGAATTCATCGAACGGCGTGTTTCGATTAAAGGCTTCTGTATTTAATGAAATACAAGTGAACATTAAGCGATGCCATTCGAAATTTCCAAATACTTTGAAATTGTACATACAAAATAGAAAACCGATTTATTCACACCGCTTTGCACGCACAAAAAAATCTTCGTTTTTTTAGTTAAACAATTTAAAATCGAGGCTTTGAATGTAAGTGCCCATTAAAATAGTAAACTTAATACGTCAGAGCGACACGAATGATGAGCACATCATCCAGAATTTCAAAACAAACAAAATTAGCATGGATTTGAATCAGCATTAAAAGCAATGAGTGTGACTTTTCAGCCAGACATTTAGACCTTTGTTCATGCGATTCGTGCTGGTTTGGCATTTTGTCTATGTATGTATTTCAAGTGCAATCAAACAATTTCTTCGTCTTGACTTTCTGTGTTTCATGAAATGTGCCAATAGGTTTCAAATCTTTTTATATCAACAAAAATTGACCTACATCATTCTTTTAGTTACGATATTTGACTTATTCAAATTTCTCCGACAGTTTATGCTATAACGCAGTGAACATAATTGTTTTCGACGTAATTCTCCATTTTCAAATTCTACACAAAACATCAAGTCACTTTAAATTTTAGTTACAATAAAGATGTGGCCTAAGCCATTATATGTTCTTTATCATTATCGTTGATCGAAATGACAATATCGCATCGAAATTGGCAAAATAATTTATGTCGATATTTTAATGTTACACATGATGTATCAAATAGAGGCTAACTCGTTTTCATTGGTTTGAAATGAAAGTGCTTTGGACGAACAAGATAAAAGTAGTGTACATAGGTGAAGAAAAAAAAAAACACGAAATTAAACGCAGCTAAAATGTTCAATTCATCCCAAACATGTTTTAACTTCCAAAATGAAAGACGAATAAAAAAAATCATCGGCATTGTATTTGCTTGAACTATAACTGTACTGCAAGCGCGTAATTTCGAGCTGTCATACGTTCACTTGGTTTTGACATAAAACCTGAACAGCCGAAAACCAAACCGCAATGACTTAAATTTTTTTGTTGCGATCTCTTTACATAACAGTTACAAACTAAAGCATTTTGTTTTCAGTATTATTTTCATTTCTTAAGCCCATTGAAGCTACATTTTTTGCGTGCAAGCGACCTTGCCATATTTTTACCATTTTACGAGCCACGCCAATTTTTTTTTTTCACTTGATGTACAATGTACAAAAACAGCTGTATAGAATTGATAACAAACTGATTCTATGTGCAATGTTGTGTATTTTCAATATTTTAGTTCGCCAGATTCAAGTGCCTAGTTTTTGAACCTGTGTCTACGTTTCATATTGAATCTAAGAATTGAAGCCACCATTAATTCATTCATTATACACGGTCGTCGGCCGACATATATTCCGGACTGCCACTTTCTACATTGCCTCCACTTCTGCATTTATTGAGTGTATTCGCTTCAGTAGAATACAGATGTCACAACTTTTACTTTTAATTATGCGTATTAGGGAAAAAATACACGACAGAAAACACAATATTCACAAGTTTTTTTTTTGATGGCCCTTTTTCATTTGTAATTTAACGTCATTCATCATTCACATCATCACCATCGTCATTATCATTTTTTACTATTGTAGAGTATCATCGAGTGAATGCGTAAACAAGTGTTTTTGTTTTAGTTTTGAAACATAAACAAAACATGTACTAATTGTCAACATCAATACGTCACTTATAATTTCGTTCATGGTTGAGGTCTTCAAAAAGAATATGAAAAATAAATAAATAAACAAATTAATTGTGATTTCAAGAAAAAGAAGTGAAAACATCAACAACAAAACCAACTTGATTTTAGTCAGCATTTTTCATTCTTGCTAATTATTTTTTTTTTTTTTTGATTTTTTGTGTAGTTGTTTTCTCTTTCATTTCTCATTTTTGTTCGGATCAATTTTTGGCAGAAATTCTGAAAGAGCACGAGAGGGAATCACCAGAATCTTATCTTTCTCTACCTCTCTCTTTGCGTATTTTATTCTCAGCTTGCTCATTATTCATTGTAGATGCTTAAATAATTGCTCAGGTATTAGAGAAAATTGGACTTTGATTTGCGATGATTGGATCGTCTATTAAGGTATGATCCATAAACACAAGCGTAGCTGTAATGTAAAATTAGAAAACGATGCAAAAAAAACACCAAGCACCACGTAAATTATATCCCCAATAAAATAATGATTAAATAAGCTAGCACCTTGAAGTGAGTGGCTAGTTGTTCAATTTATTCACGTTGGATATACTTTGTTGCGGGCATTGTTGCGATTTGCAACTGGTCGAGTAATGCATGAGATCGATTGTAGTGTGATGATTAGCAAGCGCTTCTAACATTTGTCCGTTAATTTGTCATCGGATAAATGCATCGTAAAAATGAAAAAAAAAATGAAATTATCAATTACCTCTAGTACGTACGTAGTCTCTTTTAAATGGAAAACGTCGTTATTCATTACTGTGTATCTATGTAAATCATTGACTTCATTGAACTACAAAACAATAAAAACATCTGATCGGGGTAATTTATTGCATGCGATTTACTTGAACACGTGAGAATATTGTGAAATATACAAAAAAAGAAATCATATTACTCGATTTATATATGGGTAGTGATAAAAACTTATAATTTTCTCTCGCTCTCTCTCCCTCACACACACACACACACGCACACACACAATTTGCAAATTGTTGATTATTTCTTTCGTCGATCTAAGAGAATGCATGTAATTTGTCTGCGTCATCATTGTTGGTCGAACCTATACTAGTTAATGAAGAAGTTACTCCATTTTCAATTTATTTAAATGTTTAATTTCAATCGTTTAACCATTCAGCGCATTTTTAAACCAATCTTCTTCATTTACACAAAGATGCCCTATATGAGAATAGGGAATATACACTATGTTAAGCATATATGCTGAGTGAGTTAGCTTAAATCACAATTCCTTATGATTTATTTTTATTATTTCCTAGTTTGAATATATATTTGTGGCGTCATTGTCGTAAATGCCACTTTGCGGAAACTATTGCTTTTGTTGTTCAGCTGTTGTTTTTATTTCTGGTTAAATGTTAGCAGAAATGTCTGAGTTGTTCAAGAAATATTCTAAGTTTTGTCGAAAAAATATTTAGCAAATTTAAAGTTTGAATTCACACAGTATATCTATTGAAAAGGAATTATGGGCCTTTCGAGACCTCCAATTGAGATAATTTTCTACAACCTTCAAAGTGCATGCATCAAGCATGAGAGCTTTTGATTTTCATTGAAATCATCAATGATGTGCAATTATTCTATCATCACGACTGCACCATATCAACTAAACATTTGTATTTACTATATTCGCCCAAAGAAATACATGTAGGAAATTAGACAATAGTCACTCTTCACGCATGCCGCTGCACGTTTGTGGTGTGTCGGTGTCATAGATTCGACGCTGAATGTTGTTGTTGTTTTTTTTTTATTCATATGCGAGAATAAACTTGTATGCTTGGTTACTGCGCAATCGTAAAACATACGAAGGGAATATTATGTGAGAATTCAATACTTTGAAATGGAACATGTGTGTTTTCTGCACCAAAATACAACTTAGCCAAACTTCAACTGCAGTAATTCATTCTGAATGTAAATTGTCGTAATCGTAAATTTTGTTTATTCATAAAAATGTTCCCGAAATTGTCTCCAGGTTTTTCATGACACTTCTGAGAATAAATACCCGAAAATGTGCTTTATAAATTGCTGCATTTTCAAGTTAGCCACAGTATTGGAAAGCATTGATATATTATACGTATTTTCAATAAGCATTTTTTCACTTGAATCGTTCGATTTCGATTTGTAATTAATGTGTGTGTTCATCTTCTTCTTTTTCTACCTTTGTTCTCAACAGAATTATGAATTATGTGACGCGGAGGTTCCTTCGCTGTGCAATGGTTGTATTCAGTTGGTTTGTTGTGCCATACAGTAGGGTCACAACACTGTGGGTACCAAGAAAAAGACTTCCACCCATGACCAATCCACTGCTGGAAATACGTGCGGTCAAATTGGCGCATATGATCCGAACTCGACAGGTTTGTATTCATTTGTCACAATTTCATATAACGCAAGTGCTGTCGCAAGTGTACATCTATACTTATTTCAGGTAACGAGCGAGGAAGTCGTTCAGGCCTATATAGAACGTTGCAAGGAGGTGAATCCATTGGTTAATGCAATCGTTGAGGATCGTTTTGAACTCGCATTAGAAGAAGCACGACAAATTGATACCGATATTGCGAAAGGCACCCGAACTGTTGAAGAAATGGAAAGAGACACACCGTTGCTTGGATTGCCTGTGACCGGTTGGAATGAAGAAAAAATTGAACTTGAAAACAAAAGCCTTAATATAATTTCTATTTATTTCAGTCAAAGAAAGTATCGCCGTTAAGGGGATGATCAATCAGGGCGGACGTGTGTTCAAGCAGCGACGTGTCGCTCAATATGATGCTCCGTGCGTTGTTTTGGTGAAAAAACACGGTGGTATCATTCTTTTAGTTAGCAATACTCCGGAGCTGTGCATGTGCTGGGAAACATATAATAATGTTTCCGGGCAAACACGGAATCCATACGATTTAACTCGAACGCCGGGCGGTTCAAGTGGAGGTGAAGCGGCTTTAATCAGCTGTGGTGCATCGTTAATTGGCCTATCGTCTGATATCGCTGGATCTGCTCGTTTACCCGCAATGTTCACTGGAATCTATGGGCACAAGCCAACACCATATGCAATCTCACCAAAAGGTCATATTCCCGCTAGTAATGTAGAGTATTGGGGAGATTTCTTCACCATTGCACCAATGACACGTTATGCAAGTGACTTGCCGTTACTTCTCAAGTGTGTCAACGACCCGAACGGCCGTAAATTGTTATTAGACAAAGAAGTGGATATTAGCACAATAAAATTTTTCTACATGAACAATGATGGCCCATCTGGAACAACGCGTCGTCTCAGTAAAGATATCAAATGCACAATTGATGATGTTGCCTCTTATTTTAATGCGAGCAAAGTCAAAATAAACGGTCTGAAATGGGCTCTTGAAATATCGATGTCAGCCATGCTTCGAATAAAAAACGTCGAAACAATTTATTACGAAGGCGAGGACGGTGAGCCAAGAAAGCACATGGGAAAAGAGACGCTAAAGTAAGTTGGCAATTTTGTTAGTTGTTGCTTGCTATGAAAATGTAAATTGAATGCATTTCTCGTTTTTAGATATTTCCTTGGGATGTCGGATAGCATTTTTCCATCGGTTCTAGTTGGACCGCTGCAGCAAGTTATGCACTGGCTACCTGAATCAAGGCACAGAAAGCTGGCAAATATTGCTGAAAATCTAAAACATCAATTCCAGGAACTTCTTGGAACGAACGGTGTATTTTTGTATCCAACATTCCCGACAACAGCGCATCGACACTATCAGATCTACCATAAACTAGTGGACACTGGCTATATGATGGTCTTCAATACAATAGGTCTTCCGGTAACCAATTGCATGGTTCGTTTAGACCGTCATAAACTTCCTATTGGCATACAGGTAATAGCCATGAACATGTTTGTCTCCGAATTTTCAGTGATCACAAAATACTTATTATTTTTCTTCACTTTTCCGCCAATTAGGTGGTTGCTAATCCAGGTCAGGACCATTTAGCGTTGGCTGTTGCACAGGCAATCGAAGCGCAATTCGGTGGATGGGTTCCTCCTCCATCATCGGAGCGAACAAATAAATAGGCAGAGATAAATGAAATTAGATAGTATGGCACTGTAAATATATTTACTTCTCTTTATTAATTTCATTGAGTTTAATGTCATTATAATGTTTTACGTGTCGAGTGGAAATATGTTCTATGCTAAATTTTGTCTTGGATGTCTTAACTTGATCGAATGTATCTTTTTTTTTTTGTAATTTAGCAAAATGTAATACTTATTATTTCATAGAAATTGTCCGACGAAAACAAACACAAACATTTAAAAATAAAGGAATAAGTTTAACGGAAATGAAGAATGAACGAAACCAATGATGTTGTTAGTTTTTTTTTTTTTTTGCTTTATTCATTTAAAATTTTAATGAGATTGTAACTGGATTTGTTTTAGCAAATAACGACATATGGTTTGACTTTTATCTTAGTACAAAATTCATCCAACTGTCAGCCTTTCTGTGCGATATTCCAATTCTACAATGCAAATTTATCTAGGTTTGTGCCATCGATCATTGGACAGATCGAATAATTTGTTTATGGAAATTGTAAACGATGATTGGAACAGATTGACACGCAAACCGGTATCGACTATTTTTTTTAGGGTATCATCATCTGATCGTGTTCGAATCCATGTCATAGTTTCTATGATCATCATTAGGTGATTAGCAAGAACTATGTACCAATTAATCGCTATTTTTTTTTTCATATGAAAAAATTCTGGGGGGAAAATCGTACGAAATTTGTTTATATTTCTAATTTTCATTTAAATACGTATTTTGCTGTTTATTCATTTTTAAAAAAATTCATTAATCAAAGACTCTGGTTGATTGGAAAAACGGTTATGTGTTTTTTTTTTTTGGCTTGCTGCTATCATCATTTATGTGTTACGATATAATAATAATGATATCGACTGTGATAGGCTCTGATGAATATCAAGCACTTTGTTCCTATTTCTTCAATTTATCGTTTGTTAAACTGCTTATTGTTTTAGCATCATGTGCCTAAGGATTTTCATATTTTTACTAACGAGTTTAAAGCTTTTCTCTTCAAATTCCACTAACAGAGAAAAAAATCGAAATGATTTAAAAAAGAAAACTCTTAAAATATTTCGGAAATAAATAAAAAATTGTAGCTTGAGCGGCAAAGGGAGTTCGCATTTATATATTTTTCCATAGATTCTTTTCTTCTTATTATTGTAACAAAAATTGTAAATAAAAAAAAAAAAAAAAAATACTTTATTTCTGTCCCTCAAGTTGATTGCATTTGGATGATCTTCTTTGCTGATACGTATAACATATAGTAATAGTTTTGGCCAGTGGCCATATATTAAATATTCTAGCAGAGAGCTAAAAAGAACAAAAAGAGCTATATATGTCAACGATCTGGCGATTAAATTATAGAGTTTTTCTTAATTATGCTTAAAACGTAAAATAGTTTCATTTAAAATATCCAACAAAAACACATTTGGAAATGACTAGAAAATAAAATTGTATGTAAGAGATAAATATAAACTGTGTCTGGTTACTTAGTGTTGATGGCTTATTTTTGTTCGCAATACATTGATTTTTGATTTGCTGTCAATTTCGGTCAGAGTCGCAATAAATGGCGTGAATTGACACACGCTTATATTTCAACGGGTTCAATGTATTTTTCTTTCCTCTTCAATTTTATATTTTGCTATAGCTTGGTATACCAAGTAAATGCTTGAACATAAAATTTGTCGTGTGGAAGGAAGGACATCTTGTTCTTACGTCAATCACAAATCAATTATTATTTTTATAGAATTCATTTAAATTAATGATACGATACAAATACGTGTACACGTGCTTATTCGGGAGTATTGTATTGTTTTTAAACCTTTTTTGTGTTCGTTAAGATTATCGGGAACATACATTTCTTTGACTTTTTTTTTTTTGGATATACCACTGAATCGCGTGTGATATAAACGTTTGCTTTGTGTTTTTTTCTTTCATTGTGTATTTAGCCTATTTGGTTGGGAAATCAGGCCAATAATTTATGTAATAACGGTGTGTCGAGCCTTCGAATAAACGATCCAACCAATTGCTCAACCCGTCCAATAAATTTTCTTCGAGTAAAATTTTTTCATCTAATTCACTGCCACCACCATATTCGTCCGAGTCTGAATCATTTCCATTCATTCCCAGGAACGCTCCTGCTTCTGGGTCATTACTATTGCTTAGCTCACGCGTCAATTTGATTAATCGCTACAAATCACATTGAAATTATGAAAATGAATGATAACATAAAATGTTCTGTTTTGTTTTGGTTTTTGTTCACTTACTTTCGTGCCTCGAATCGTCTCTGGATGTTTGGCATGATACATACAGAAGTATTTTCGATGCCCATTCAATGCCAACACGGTTCCAATACAATTTCTCGGATTAATCTGTAAATCTCTCGATTCCAGCAGTGATAAACGTAGCAATTCGGTGAACCACGATTGACCACGTTCAATGAGCATATGTGCAAACATCAATGTTTTATTTCTGCAAAAAGAAATACACGGAATAAATTATGTTAAGGAATTATAGTAAGAATTCATTTAAAGATAATTTGTTAAATTATTCATTTAATGACTTATTACTTTCGATAAGGCCACACAGCTTTATGAAAACCTGGAATCAACTTTGGTCTCGATTGCAAGTCCGTAACAAGAATGATAGTTCGACAGCCCGGCTTCAATAGCCGAACCAAACCGTTATATTTTTCGGCACGTAATTCATGCAATTTGAGTTCTGGCACATATGGTACTGGTTTTGCAGTTCCTATGATTGTAAAAACGAAGAAAAATAAATGATTTAAGTGATATCATTCGGTTCATTTCACTTGAAATGGTTTCAACTAATTTTTACCATTATTATTATTATTGTTTTTGGTGCTTTGTTTCTTCTGAATGTCTTCCTCTTCGATTCGCACCAAATACGCCAACAAATAGCCAATGGCTACGATGAATCCAATGGTTCCAAATACTGATAGCACCGGTAGAACATGTTCACGTCCCAAATTGTCACCGAAATATTCAAGAAGTAGGAACATTTTGTTGAGAATTTGAACAAAAATGCTTTGCGCATGTTCATCGAGCAGATCCTAAAATATGAAATAAAATTTTAACCGACATGTTCGTTCTAAAACGATATCAAGACGACATACCTTGACTTCAGCTTCATATGACAGGGATTCGGATGTACGAAGCAAGCGTTGAATCGATTCGTCTAGCTTACGTTTCGTAGCATTGAAACTCTGCTCGTACGTTTCATTTTCTAGATGTTTGACGTGCAACGAAACACCACTCACCCATTCATATTTAATGTGAGAAGTATCACGGCGCCAAATCACGACCAATCGCAGTAGAGTATCTTCGCTGCCATTTGCTAACGCGCTCACAAATTCAGCTTGGCGATCTTGATAAATGTAGGCGAAACGGACACGGTCTGCACTGAATGCAGATTCAAGGGCTATTTTCCTCAGTGCATCGCGAGCTTCATCGTGTGTATTAGTATTTTCGGTTACCAAAATAACACACAAACGCTTTCGCGGTCGATTCCACTCAGTAGGGCAAATACCATCCAGAAGATCCTGTGATGAGAGTCGGGGCAAGGCCAAATACTGGTTAGCAGATACAACATTATTAAGTGTTTGTGTGGGAATATCGTTCATTGAAATACTGGCCACAGGCCGGTTCGAATCTTCGTTAAACATCAACAAGGTGTCAAGGCTTGGGTGAACCTTGTACATCTCCTGTATTTTATCCGCTGCACCTGTATTCAGTTGTACGAACCTAGAAAACAATTTAGATTTAATCAAATATTTTTTTCAAACTGATCAAAGCAAGCACTTGAAGATTTGAAGTCAATTGAAACATTTCATAGGGAGAAAATTTGTTTTCAGAGATAAGTCATAGAATTTCAAATAAAATCAATGTCGAAGAGACCATCATCAGCAACAGCAACCAGTATGAAGTCAGCTTTTAGGCTCGAGACTGACTTTGTGATGAATTTTCGAAATAAAGCGTTGTTACAACGAATCAACAGTGCAAAAGCCCAAATTGACAATAAGCCCGTGGCGTGTGTGAAACATTCTAGACAGTTTAAAGAGAAGGTGCAGGCGCGAGAAATTGAGGAGAAGAACAACATTATGGCGCGAAAGCTGGCCGAAATTTATGGACGATAAAAACTGCGTCGATTGATATTGAATAAAATGCGCATATACATTTCAAAGCAGTAGAAATTGTGTTCAATTTTTTTTTCTTCCACAATTTTCACTTTTAGCTCAATTTTTATGGTGGAAACAAAAGAGAAAAAAAAACTTACCCGAATAGTACGCGTTGCCTGAACTCGAAAGCAGTATTTAAATATCGAAGTCGAATCTGTTTACGAGGCTCCATGATTAAAGCACGAACACGATTGTCTGACCAACCACTCAAAAATTCGTCAACATTATCGTCGTTAATCGGCACAATCATTTTATATGGTAATTTTTGGCGAATAAAATCAACGACGCTTTGAAGAACGAACGAACTTTCTTTGAATACATAATTTTTACCGTCCAACACCAACACTAAACATGGTAAAACATGTACACTTGCTTTTCGAGCTAGATTCGCCTCGTGGCCTGCATTGACTGTAGCAAATACGAAACCCAGCGGCTCTAACGATTCTTTGATCTTCTTGAATGCACCAGCCACTTTCATACACGAGAAACACCAATCAGCATAAAACATTAGGATGTGTGGAGTGGTGTAGCTACGCGGTAATACATGAGTGTCATAGTAGCGTGATGTGATGGATAATTTATGGAAAATACTGATATCTTGATCAAAGCTGAATCGATGCCTGGAAAAATAAAAAGATAAAACGTTATTTTTCTTACAAAACTTGCACCGCAAAGTGTCAAGTGAATTCATTGCAATGAGTAGAATAGAAAAAAAAAATACCCAAAAAACTCTTCAAATGGATCAGTTGCAAAGCGGCCATACTGACTATAGTCGTGCCCACTCCGAGAATTGAATGCATCTTCATGGGTTACTCCATGTAAATCGTATGCACTACGACGTTCATTGTCTGATAAAAGTTCGTATGCTTTTTTGACCTCAACGAATTTCGTTTCAGCCAAAGGATCATCATTCTTATCTGGATGCCTAAAATGTGAAAAGGTGTTTTCATTTAAACTTTGTAAGTCACAAATATGTTTTTGCTAAAACAAAATTCTTCCTAATTAAATTGGCACACATACCACTTTTTCGCTAATTTCTTATATGCTTGTCGGATTTCCTGTGGCGATGCTTTTCGTTCAACCCCCAAAATCCTATATGGATCACCAAGTTGGACCTCAGCAAATATTCCATCATAACAAGTTGAGTAGATCCAAAACAAAACTAGAATTTGCTTCAAGACATTTTGATAGTGCATTTTCAACACGAACGTTTCGATAAAATTTCGTCTCCGCTCTCACATCCAACAATTTAAATGCAATTTCTGAATGAAACCACACACTTTTTCTGTTATAAGTTTGATTTAGATCACTATTCAGTCAAAACTCCTTTTCTATCTTTGTTATGCTCTGTACCTTTTTTTAGTGCTTGCTGATGCTATACGAGAAATCATCGAAAAAAATTGACAGTTCTATTTTCACAGGAGCAAATTCATTCATTATGAAAATGCACACATACATGGATGTTGTACCATGACCGAAACAATGAAAGGGACAACCATATATACCGACTGGCACACACAGACACGCAGCACAACCAACAAACAAGTCGCATTTGATAGCAGCACGTCCCCTTCCTCTTCTTCTTCTATACTTTTTTTACTGTATTATCGACCTGTGTTTTCGGTAAAATTTTGCGTGAAATTTCAAATTGAAATACATTCATCGCAAGATGATATAGAAAATCAAGAATGATGACACTTTCGCGTAATAAAGATTGAGGTGAGCGAAAGATGAACCCGACTCTACAATTTTACGCAAAAAATATAGTAAGGCATTTGTTATGTTTGAAGAAGATTTGTTAATATTCTTCGAAACAAGTCCGCTCAAGTTAACTAACATTTCTGGTTCATATTATATTTTATTTTTTATTTTTGTAATTTTAAGGCGATATAATTCTCTTGACAAAAATATTGGTATAATGATAGCAATTATTAAGAAAGCATTCAACAGGAGCAAAAATATACAAAATAAAAAAGATTATGGCCCATGGGAGGATCGAACTCACGACCTTCGCGTTATTAGCACGACGCTCTAACCAGCTGAGCTAAAAGGCCCATATGAAGATGTCAGCCAAGTTGTGTAATAATGCAACACACATCATATAGTGCATAAACATAGCGGCAACGTAATTCGTTCTATTTTTGACAATAATCGAATGAACAATTTGTTTTATGCATAGTCTATTTCTGTAGGATGAACTATAAAAGATTTTGATTATGCTCATTTGTATTTTGTCTGAAATCTAAAACGAATAGAAAAACAACAAAAAATGTTTGCATTTCTTTGCCTAGTAAATGATGACGGTTCATTAGACGCGTGAAAGACGAGTCATTATTTCAAAAACAATAACATTGATATGAAATTGACGCATTCTGAACAAACGAGTTACAACGTTCTTTTGTAGGCCGACACACGTAAAAAAAATATAAGCAGTGAAGACGTTATCGATTTCGACACTTTCGCGTAATAACGATTGGGGTGAGCGAAAGATTAACCCGTTGAAAACGGTTGGAAGGTAAAGTACAAGACACGCGACCAAATCATCTCATTTAAGTATATTTCATCTGATGCCCTACCATCAACCGTGCATGGGAAGCAACTTTAGTCGATTATAACTGAAATTGATGGACAATCGTCGATTATAAGAGGTCTGATGGTTTTGATTTTCAAATCAGCTGTCTACGAAATTTTAAGTGAAGTCGAAAGTGAGCTCTGTTACAAAAAATGGCACGTCAAATCTTTGTGTTGGTTTTTGTGTTATCATTCGTTGCTTTTACATTGGCTTAAGAACCACAAGTGCAATTTCAACCATAGCCACAAGTTGTTCGTGAATCAATATAACAATGATGACTCTGGAAATTACTTATTCACGTATGTTATCATACATCTTCATATGGCTAACGCAAATCAAGAGAAAAATGGAACAAATTTCATTTTGAAAGACAATCAGTTTTATCAAGTGATGAAACATACAATTTAAGTGAAGGTGAAAAAATTGCATTTACTTGATGAATCTTTTGTATGGTGTAATTTTAAGATGTCAAAATGTGCTTATCATAAACATCCAAAAAATGATGTACAATACGAGCCAGAAAACATCTGTGCATCCTCGTTGTAGCAATGCAAAAAATTACTCTTCTGTATTTAATACAAAATTAATAATGAAGTGAGATAAAAACACTATAATTTGCTTATATCAATTAAATGGTTTTATTCATCATTTTTCCTATGCAATTTTCTTTTCATTTCTTTTTTAATTAGTTTTCCTTGTTGGTGTTCTGCAATTAGAACTTTTCGTTAGAGTTGAGTGCAGTTTCGCAGTTTCTATAGCCAAAACCAAATCCGAATCCGGTGCCGAGCCAAAGTGGGAACGCTCTTCGTTTGAAGAATAGCAATGAGACCACTGAACCGATTAAAAAACCCCCACCTGCCAAATGAAAAAATACGACGAAATCAAAATAAGAAATATGGTTCATGAGAATTGATTTATTTAGTCTTACATAATAAATGGAAAAATCACAATTATCAATTTTTATATTTGACTCACCTGCTTTGACCAAAGTATCTGTGATACACCGATCCAATTTCTTTCCGAACTGATCTTCGGAGAATGCGGTAACAGATGCCATTGTATTTTATTTTATTTGTATTTTTAAACAATTAAATTCGGTTTATACAAAAAATGTTATGCGGTGGAGTTTTTCTTTTGCCTGCACCTCGTTGACAGATTAGCGGTGCTCTATGAGAATGTGACGTTTTAATAAATGTCAGATAATAAAGATGGCGTCGAAAAGTGGCGCACAATTCAACTAATACAGACGAAAATGCTTTTTTGTATAAAATAAAATAAGAAAATGAATCATCACTCGTGCACTGGCTGAATGTCTCTATTTTCAAATGCTTTGTTTCCAGCTCTAGATAAATGATGCATTTTGTTTGATTTTCTTTACTAACCTTAATTTTGAATGATCTCGTTTTTTTTCCCAATGATATTTGTTTGTTTGTTTGATTATTTTTGGCTTTATAGCATAAAACCTAGTCAGTTTTTTTAAAAAGGAAATTCGTAGCATTAAATTACCAGACGAAAAATCGACAGAAAAACATATTTACCTACCGAATAACACATGGATCAAAAAGTTTCCGGCCTGACATATAGAGGGCGACACTAACCAAAATTCCTTTATGTTATTCGATAGCGCCATCCTTCATACCATATGTGTCAAAATTTCATGACAATTGGTCAACGCGTTCTCAAGTTATAGACGTCAAAGTGAAGCAACCTCAGTGTTTTTGTTAAAAATGGAAAAAACAGAATTTCGTGTGCTGATTAAGCATTGCTTTTTGGTCGGAAAAAATACGGTAGAAGCTAAACAGTGGCTTGATAAACATTATTCGGACTCTGCTCCAGGCAAATCGACCATTAAAGACTGGTATAATGAATTTAATGAAACGTGGTCGTATTGACACCAAAGACGCTGAACGCAGTGGTCGCCCAAAAACGGCTGTTACAGAAGAAAACATCATAAAAATCCGAAAAATCGTTGTTGCCGACCGTATAATGAAGGTGAGAGAGATAGGGAAAGCTCCAGGGAAAGAGATTTCACTCGAATGAGGAGGTGATTGCCGAAACTGAAGCATATTTTGCAAGCAAAGATCAAGCCTTCTATAAACATGGAATTGAGAAGTTAGAGAAACGTTGGACCGATTGTATTGCATTAGATGGCGCATATGTTGATGAATAAAAACGAATTTTGCAAAAATATTGTGTTTTTCTTAGTTAGGCCGGAAACTTTTTGATCCATGTGTTACAAACCAAATTTTTTTCTCCTGAGAAGCTCACTTCGCTGTTGTAATGAATAATAATTGAAGGACAGTGAATTACTTTAATGTTAAAAGCATATATATTATTACGTGTGTATGTGAGACTGTAGTCCTATTACTTTTAGCATATATGTATGTATGTCATTATATACCAGGATTTCGGTTGAAATGGCAATATTTTACATATTCATTTTTCTTAAATGCATAATATCAATCATTTTTTCTGTATCTCCTTAGAAACTAAAGTTAAATTTTACTTTTGTTTTCAATTGTATTTGCATCATTCATCAGTTTTTAACAAATACTAGTATATGTTAGTCTTAAAAAAAATTATATTTCCACACATACTTTATTTACACTAAATAACTAATATACTGGTATAGTGTGTTTTGATTAGATTATTATTTCAAAACCATTGCATTTCCATTAGAAGCGGAATTTGGAATAAAGTGTTTGCTCGGGGGGAAAATTGGTATGAAATTGTGGAGCCTGTTCTTCTTTCTTTTTTCAAAAGTATAAATAGTTTATCGCATGGTCTTACATATTTTGAATATTTACAACAAGGAAATATTTGCGACATATGTTAATTTGGGAAAATGTAAGTGATGGTATTGTAAATTTGCTCAACGCTTTTCAAAATGTTGCAATAGAAAAAGCATTTCGGTTCATTTTCGAAACAGACCCCATCATAATTCAATAAATGCTCTGTCTTCTTTCCATTTTACTCTATCCAATATTTTAGGTGCATTAAATGGGCTACAAGGAAATTTATTGATTTGCCATCTGTCTACTAAATCGAAAGGATTGAGTGTCAGTTCAAATTTCACTACTGCACATCACGTGTTTGAAGTTATGTCACATTGATTCCAATATATATTGTGAAAATGTTTAAGAAAACAGTATTGAATTAGGTAAATCGTTATCATCCCCAAATTAAAATTGTTCCATAGATTCTTTTTTTTTTTTCAGTTTATTTGTCTTCATCTCAGACTAGTTTATACAGAATTTAGAGAAAAGAGTTCAATCTCATAATAGTTTATAGAAAACAATTCAACTGTATTTCCTATGCGAAAATTCTGCTTATTATTTATCCATGTACATGAAATTTAAAAAAAATAGAAATGTAAATTCGACGCTGAAATCAGGAGAAGAAATTAAACATATTTGTACACGTCTAAATTTGGCTATATTTTTGAAATACCATACGTATGTGCATACATGAATAAATAAGAAAGCAACTTAGTGCAGTTGATTGTATTTTATCATTTATTGATGGCAACTGCTATTAATTTTTTTCGAAAATTAAATAATTTATAATTGCTTGCAAGCAATTTATTTATAGCAATTGCCCATGCTTAAAATGTCGTAAAAAAAGATACCATGATAAAACAAAAATATTCCATATTCAATTCCAAGATTATTCATTGACATCAACCGACTTCTCTTCTGCTTCGATGTGAAATTGTTATATCTTGGATTGTCATTCTTGGGCCAAAAAACATATTGTTTTATTTAATTTCAAATTTTATGCAAATTTATTAAGAAAGTTTCAGATCACTTCGCTCGCTGTGACGCGCTACAGTTACTGTGACTAACCAAAAGTAGTACTGTCACCTTCAAATGTAAACACTGTAAACATAATACAAGTTGAGGATGACATACGAGTGTAACTGTTCCTTTGAATGAAATCAGCATTCAAGCAGTTTGGGATTTATCGTGCGGACAACAAAACATGCATTATTTGCAAAAAAATGCGTTGTTTTCAATATTTTTTTCACATTATGTGTGTGTGTGTGTGTGTGTGTGTCTGTGTGTGGAAAAGTTATAAAGCAATGGAACTACGCATATTTATCAAAATGGGCACCAACGAAACTGTTAATGGGGCTTGTACATTTTGGATTTGTTGATTGATGCAGAAGTTATGGCGCTAGGCATCGAAATATGAATTTGGACGACATTGTAATGCCACTATTTTGATGAATTCCATCATTTGAGCAGTGTCAGCGAGAGGTAATCAAGAGTAGAAATTTAACTGTGCTGTTTTTTTCTTCAAGTGTTTACACTCTAGTGTATTCTAAATATAGTTTTATTTAAACAATTCTTCTGAAATGAGGTTGGAAATGGAAAATGATGAAAATGTAGATCAAACATCAATTAAATTAGCATTCATTCATATTTCATATGATGGTCGTATCGTCGTGATAATAATTTCTGTAATTGCACCGTTTTGGTTTTTTTTTTCTTGTCAAAGTGAATACTTGACTTGATTACAGTTTCTGGATATCTTAATTGGTGGTTAATAAGATCTGACACCAATATCACCGTTTACGTCGAACGATCCGGGGTCATTGATACTGTTGCTATAGAAATTTCACGGGTGTGCGGATCGACAGCTATGGTGCATCGGTAAGAGACGCAAGGCATTTCAAAATGTCACCGACGGGTCAGTCAAGAGTCTTGTCGAAACAATTAGCCTATCAAGCTTATCGAACGCCAAGCAAATATTAACGACAATGAATTCGATGAGATTTCAGATAACTAAGAGCGTAGAATATTCATACTTCAATTTGCAGAATAATATTGAAACAGTTTTGTTTATCGCATTGCTTTGTGTGCTGCTGCGGTCGCGTCAAAGTACAATCGAAAGCATTAAGGACTAGAAATAATTTCTCTTGTTTGCGGTTTCTTTTCACGATTATAGTTCGGCCATTTACCAGCCGACTCGTCTCATTGGTTGCAAGCGAACGAATTGGAAAGGAAATCCGCCGCAAGAGTGAAAATAACAGTATCTATGTTTGTGGTATTTCGTTAGAATTGTGCTGTTAACATTATTATTGAGACAATAAGTTCCACTCATATACAATCACAATGTGATTTCACATATATTTCTACTTTTATCAATGTGCCTTGCGCGAATATTTCGCAAAGTTAAACTTAATCCATATATTCATCGTTTTTTTTTTTTCTCGATGCTTATCTATTTGCTCACTCGCTCACTCACACTGTATTAGTTTTTACTTCTAACACCCATAATTCACACAATTTGTATATTTGTTTTCTTCGTTCAATTACTTTTAAGTTATTAAAATGTTCGAATTTTTGCAATAAATCTGTGTTCTTTTTTTCTTTGCATTTTTGCGTTGATTTTTTTCTGATGGAAAATTTAAAACACTAATTGATTTTTTTTACTTCATTAAAATTACGTACAATATTAGTGATTTTTTGTTTTTGCATATTTCGTGTATCATTTTATTTTTATAGTTTTGAAACAGAATTCAAAGTTTCACCGAATACAATTATTCTGTGTATTAACCCATTAACGCCCAAGGAAATTTTTTTTTCGAATTTTCCGATGAAAATTTGTGGGTATTCTATTTTTTGACCAAATATGATTTTCCCAAAGTTTCATGTCATTCTGATCAAAAAAAAAAATCGACTTTTAACAAGTTTTCCGGGAAAATGGAAAATCCGGAAAATTTTGTGAAAATTCTCTCTGGACATTTGGCAACCACCCTGCAAAATTTCATTTCAAAATTCCAAACCGTTTAGCCGAAAGAAAGAAAAATGTAAAAAAAAGTCACTTAAAAAATCACGAATTTCGCGTCCTAAAAATAGGACGTTGAGCGCTAATGGGTTAACTAAAACCATTGTAGTTTTCAATGAATTCAATTTCTGGTGAGAAAATATTGGATTTACAAGTGAAAAACGAATGAGAATTGAACGGTGCAATGGCAATGATAAAAGACAATGATACGTACACCATACAATTTTATGTTCGCCATTAAAAAAAAGGCGAAAAAATACTCATATAATTGTTGTCGAAATGGAGCTCAGGGATCGTTCTTTACATTTGTAGGTTTTCATGTTATAAATATTCACTGAAATCTATGGTTTTCAATTTCGCACTTATGTTTCACAATCTTCTACTTTTCAAATCCATTTTTTTTTTCGTTGAACGCATTACTTTTTATTTTCCATACAAATGCTCTTCAACAATATGGAGGAACGAACCAACGCGCGAACTATTGTAATCACCGTTGACGGGATTTTTTTTCTTCGATTTGTAACAATTCCATTTAAACAACAATTTATAACGCAAATGACAAATGATTGCGGCTTATTCAATTATAAGCTGATCAAAACTCATTTTCACCGGCTAGAAATGAACTATTTTCTTTTTTAATTGCATGATCTAGATGAATATTCAATTTAACTTTGTCTCATGTGAATTTATTATCAGTAATCATAAAAAATTGTAGAAAAACCAGTCTTTTCGAAAAATAATAGTGCATTCATTATTTTAAAAAAAAAAATCGCTCGCAATGAGTATTTGATTTATTGATTCCTTAATTTCTCATGCTTGAAATTACATGCGTTTTTTTGTATTCGACTCAATTGAACTGCTTTCCGCCCAACCGTTCTACTTCATATCCTCTCTGCAGAATTGTTTTATTCCAAAATTATTTTCTCAGAATCATTTGCTAACAAAAAATTTGCATTACAATTTCATCATTGGATTTTATTTGTTTTAATAGAACAATTTACAAACATATATTGAAATTGAAGGAAAAAAAAACCGACAAAGAAAATTGACAAAACGAAATTTTGTTTTTGAGTTTTATTGTGCGTGTGTGTCCATTAATAATTATGGCTTTCGAAAATCACTTCGTTTCATTGGACTGGGCACACATAGAATCAAAGAAAATAAAACTGATACATATGCGTAAATCGTGGAAAATGATAGATAACCGAAAGTAGAACGAGATCGAATGTCTTGAATCAACAATTGATTCGTTGGTTTGTGTGCAATTAAATTAAACGTTTATGTTATCCGGTTCGGTGACGACGATCGAAAATTCATCATTACCATTGCTAATTATACCACCGTTCAGTTTAACCGTTGTTCCACCATTTGTTGCTATAATTGAATTTTGTGTAGTATTCAAACTAGAGCTAATATTACCATTACTACAAATTTTACTGTATAAATCGGGTGTTGCGGTTGTGCAGTCCTCTATTTCGGTGCGGAGCTCTGTACATTTCAACAAGGTAAGATCCGATGGTAAATAGGATAGAATGCGATAAATTTGTTTGAGATCATCAACCGATTGCCATACACCGGGACGTTTATTGTGGTATAGTTTTGCGTATGTGTACACATTTGCTGTGCTGTCGAATTCCATTTGCATTGCTTGCGACGTAATTATACAGAATGAACATGCCTCCGTGCCTCCGTATCTAATCAATTCAAACATTTTTAAATAACATTGCATTAAAGCTGATGGAGCACAGTGAAAATTACAAATGCTGAAAATGATGAATTTTACCTGTCAATGACAACGATGGGACCGTTCCTGTATTCGTTGCTGCGTTGATGTACGTCAACAATGAAGTCATAAATACTAGATGGGTGACCCATTTCTGGCCAGCTCGGGCAATGCAGCATACGGACGTTAAGCTCGTAGTCGTCTTGTATTGACTGCATCACAAAATCACGACACACATAATCGCATTTGTTCATTTTCGAAATATAATTTATTCTATAGTGATCGCTTTCGATCGTCAACGAATCGTCTGGCCAAAATTGTTGATAGGACTGTGAATGGAAAACGAACGACATCCATTGCATTTAGTGAAATGAACCATGTTTATTAGCAAAGATGTACTCACAATATCATCCAGAGATGAAAGAAGCACCACAGTTTGCACATTGTGGTCCCAGATCATTTGCCAGAAATCATTGATGGTGTTAACCAGGGGATGTTGTGTAACAATGAAATCACGGAGTCGTCGAAAACCTGTACAAACGTGATTGAACGTTGATAATTTTATAATAATAATGTAATTAAGATGATAAGGGAATCGGTTACAGAACATGTCAAAAAGTAATACACACCTTGTAACCATGTAGCATTGATGTAGTCGCTTCCATCTTCACCCGGCCGCGGGGTTAGATGCACTCGACTCCCTTCTAATGGCAACAATGAACTTCGATTTTTGCACAAATTCACTGGCTTCATGGCAGATGCAGTGTGCACCTCCTTTGGCTGGAATTGTGTAATCAATTTGAAGTGTGTTGCCAGCAAATTGTAATTGTCTTTTATCTCCATAATCGTGTCGGCCTTAAAATTAGTTTCACCGCTTGTTATCGCTTCAACCAAGGCATCGTGGATGAAGATGTACTGCTCCTCTGTCTGAACCAAAAAGTTGCGCTGATTTCGAATGTGCCGCAAAAATCCAAATACATTTAGAACGCCTTTGTGTTCAATTTGCTTCAACATTGCGTCTAACACAATGTAGGTTCCAGTACGACCGACTCCGGCACTGCAATGAACGACGATTGGACCAGCATCCCGTGGATTTGCTTCTGATGATTTTTTGACAAAGTCTAACACTGGCAATGGATGATCTGGCGTACCTGCAAATTGGATTTTCATTAAATATTCTGAATTGTAGCCGATATTTGAAGAAACACGGTTGTCATTCTAAACGCTATGCTTACCATGGTCGGGCCAGTTCGTATAATGATACTGATACACCGTTTTTTCGGTGGAATTTTTGTTCTTTTTTGCCAATTTCATGTGCTTTATTACAAATGTTCGTACTGTATATGTGGCCATAACATCTTCTTGCACGAGTTTCACTTGGATAATGCCGTAGGTTTCAATGCCATCTTTTGGCCAGTACATGTCACACTTTCGTCGACCCCGCTCGACTAAATTAGTTATCATAACAATTATGGCAACGCGTTGCTCCCAAATCATGCGCCAGAAACAGTCGAATGTGCCAGGGAGTGGCCCTTGCGTTCCAATAAATGCACGCGTCTTCTGATAACCATCAATGTAGTTCGCGTTGATGTAATCGAATGATTTTTTTTGCCGGCCAAGTGGTCGCAAGTGCACTCGGGAGTGATCATCTGTTGAAGAAACATTCGACACATATTTAATAATTCAATCATAGCAATGCTATGATAGCATACACAGACCATATTCTACTTCATTCAGAGCATGAAGAAGCCATTGACAAGATGGCAACTGAGTTGATTAATGACAAAGAAATATTTATTTTCCACTATTATGTATTCATTAAAACTATACAGTTTTCGAAATCGAAAGCAAACAGGTAATGGAGCAACGATAGAACCGACGACGTCCTAGTGTTCATGTCAATGACCTTGACGAACAGAAGGAGAGCCGGTATATTGGGCGGTTAAATATTTCAACGAAATAAAAAAGCAAATTTGTCATGAATAAGTAATGATATTTAAATTCCGAAAGCAAATTGTTTTTGTTTTCAGATTCAACAACCCAACACAATGTAGTACTGTTCAAGACATCGTGGTCTAATACAACATTGACACTATTTTTATAGAAAGATCAGAAAATTATTGTAACAAATATTACAAATATTCAATCTCTTTCGTATTATAGATTAGTATCACTTACATGCGATAATGTTCAAGTATCGATTTTTCTGCTTGTTATCTGGATGCTGTGAATGCTCTGACGGATACTCTTCATTAATTGATTCATTCTGTATTGCTTCGTACTCTTTGCTGAACCCAATATCACCGTCCGCGTGCAGTTCAGCAACATGTTTAGCGAATTCATTTATTGGCACTGCTGCCCGTATTTCACCGCCAACCTCAACTGGTTGGTCCCAATCAATTAACGGTTGACCTTGCAAAAATACAAACGCAAATTATAAATTAGTGCAAATTCAGTTTATTCTCCAATCATTGAATTTTATATAAATTCAAATATGTACAACAATATTTCAAATAATACCATCCATCCAACTTCTTGTATATTTGTAGCATTTGGCTATTTTATTAGAGACACTTGAATAGCAGATTCAGTTGTATAAAAAATACTTACAATTATTGGGCGGAGGATCGTCCAAGTAGTAATATGCCGCATGGAAGCATTTTCTGTAATGGATTAGATAAATGAAGACGCGATTAATTTACATGCACATCAATGTCTCCAAAAATATCAAGAATGTATTGGCCAAAAAGGAAAACAATCATTTCACTTCATATTCGTGATATGCAAGCATATTTTAGAAGCTACTACTAGTGGCAAGTGTCCACTTGAATGATACAATTAATACTACTGGACATTTATTAAGGGGAATTTAATTAGGAAATAAAGCGTTCAACTGCATTACGTTTTAAACCATTCTTGCTTCCATACATATATGTATAATCGTTCTAATTTTCACCGACCATAACTTTTCTTGTCAACAATGCAACTTGATTCATTGTTCATTCTACTTTATGTTTATTCTGATAACGAAAGATGTATTTAAATCAATCTTACAGTGCATACATGTATGAGTACGCGAATCAGTTTCGTATTTTTTGTTGCAGAATATTAACAAATGAACATAGCATAGAAGATTTACTTTGAATAGTGAATACGTATTTTTTTCACGTTTCAGCCCGAAACAGCAGCAACAAATGACTCCAAAACGTCAATTGTGCGCATTCATTTGTCCCGTCGTTGTTGAATCATCATTTAATATAAGACGCTCTTCTCCATACACAAAAATACCAGTGTTCATCATATACCGAAATGACAAATACTATAACTCATTAACAACGACATTGTAGTGATGAATAACAGCCTCCGTGCCTTTTTTCGAATACAATTGAAATATCAAATTAGCTCAATCGACTTATTGAAAGTGCAACGCACATTTGCCGAGCACAAAAATAAAACAATCATGACTTTGCCTTCATTGACCGTTAGTAGATTGGTTCAAATTTCAGTAAATTTCGAATGAAATATGGTAGGTGATTCATAAAAAGCTATTTTATGTTTTCTAAACGTATACACCACATACTGAAATTATGGAAACACCTATAAAATATATTGTTTCGGGCTAACAATTTTAAATTTCAAATCGTTTATCCGATTTCAACGTGATATACGTCGTTGGAAAGGTCGCGGAGAGTACATGTTATTTTCAGTACCAAATATAAAAATCGGCTGATCGGTGTTTGATTTTGATGATTTGTACCAAAAATGACATCTACTTTTCGAGATCTTTCCAACGGCGCATATAACTTCTCCTGGATAGCATTGGACAAAACCTCGATTTTGGCCACCACGACGAAAAGGCCGAAAAATGGCCAAAGGCCAGCCAATTGTCATCTTCCAAATCTTCCATTTGGTCAGAATTTCGATAAGTTTTCATAGCTAATATTGATTTTGAACTAAAAATATTCGAAAAATGTAGGAACAATATTTTTTATAGGTGTTTCCATAATTTTGGCCTGTGGTGTACGTTAACTGTTCATAGACTGCCGCCACTGCTGCAGGTCTTTCGTGAAAGATCATTTCATACTAGCCTTTTTTCATTTGAAAACGTTCAACGACAATTATCATATATGTGAGCCAAAAATAAACTTGTTTACCAATCAATAATAATAAATTGTATCAATTGTCATAAAAATCTTAAGGCACATATTTAATCGGCCAATAAACATAGCACCAAAGGAATAGAAATGATCAAGCTGCAAGTAAATGAGTGGAACTTTGGCAACTCCGCCTAAAAATGTGGCGTTTAAAATGAATATTAGATATCCTTAAATAACTTGATATCAACGTTATATTCTACGTTACCTTATCAATTAAAAGGGAAGTAGCTATGCTGTTATCAATACTTGTACCAATCAACTGTACAAACAACGTTGCGAACGAAAGAGAAATGAATTCATAACTCAACACATTTTTCAATTCTATAAATGTTTCGGACAGAAATGGTTCTTTTTAAATCTTTCTCTTCGTCTAGACTTTTATTAATACCATTTACCATAAAATTGTATGTGTGTGTTTACTGTTTAATGAAGTTGGAGATATTTTTTTAAAAAATCATTTTGCAAATGTAGATTGTTGAACGTATCAAAATTTTGATTGCAAAGGATGTAAAAGTGAGTAAGTATTGGTTTGGTGCGACGGATTGCATAGACATTCTTGACACATCAAGCATATTTCAAATTCTGCCACAGATTATATATTCATTGCAGATGTTCAGATCAAATTTAATAGATGTGTTTGCTCATCTCAATTTGTTTGCTTGTTTTTTATTCATGCCAAAATCGTAGGTTGTTACTCAATTTTTGCGAAGAATTTTGATTTTTTTTTTTCTGGAAATGAAGCTCTGTTTTGTTTATTCATTTTTTATTCCTTCTTGTTTTTGTTTTGTTTTCATTTAATTTGAACTCAAAATATATTCAGACTCCGTTAGATTTTAATAAATATGCTACGGCATATCCAATGGCATCGGAATCCATGCTATTTTACTTTAATTGCCCATTCTAATTGAAGCCAACACTAGAGAAAAAAACATGACTGAATATTGCCAAATCGTATCAATTTAACTGGACTATTTGATGAAAAGTTCCGAACTAGCGTCAGCTTTTTTTTATTATCCAAATTATCTTTATTTTGGTGAATTTTATTTTTGGTGTAAATTTTTTTATTGTTAATTTAAAAACCCGCTCATTTTGTGACAACTCGACCATGCATTTTTTTATATTTATTTATTTGGGTTTTCACTCAGACGCTCCAACAGCCTACAAACGAGCACACATGCGCGATTCGGCAATTCAGCAAATCAACGTATGGCCTCAAATCACAATAAAATGTAAATTAGCATTAGTATGATATTGTCAATTAAATTCGCACCACGTGCGATCAACTCATTCAAAATAGTGTCATCAGCGAAGTCTTTTGGCCCACACGTATACATACACATACAAACATAAATACATACATTGATTTATCTTTTGAAAGATTGCCGTATATTGTTTAGTATTTTTTTCATATATACAACAAATTAGCATATATTTAAATCGTGTGATTTTTTTCCTAACAGAAATGTTTAAATTAAATGTGTATGTGTATAGGTTTGTCTATTGTTCTAGTATTGATCATAATATTATATTAAGAGAAGAGCAAGCGTAGAAAACCCGAATCATGGCCGAAGTTTGTGCTTGCTTTGAGAGTACGCTAGTGAAAACGAAAGTATTTTTCGTGACTGTTCGTATGAATGCGATATGCGGGTTTGTTGTTATTGCGCTTGAATATTTAACATCGGTTTCTGAAAAAATAAATTTTTCAGAAAACTATCGATAGAAACGAAACATTTTGTGTCTACGTTGGTGTATATAGTGATCTCAAATTCAATCTTATTCCTCATTTGATATAGATATGGTTGAATAACAGGAAAAAAAAAGCGCTATCGAGTTGGACCACTGTGTGTCGCACACACATGTCAATAATATCAAAAGGCATCCAAACCAAGATAGAGGCGATAACGCGAGAGAGACAAAAGAGAACACACAACACATTTCAATAGTATACGTTTTCGAATGATTCATAAACGAAAATAAAATGAATTGCATACGCTATCCAAACTATTCCAACGGCATCACAAACTGTGTCAAAACAAATCTCTGGAACAGAGCACCAGTTTTAATAATCTTTTTTCGATTATAATATCCACGAAATGTTGTGCGTTGAAAACAGCATCCAAAAAAACCACACTGAGTTTTTACAAAATAATGCCGAAAAATGGTAGGAATTTGTTTCACTTCGTCTCCGACCATTAACACTTTTGACCCTTACGGGCTACAATTTTTTTTCGACTGCTCTTGAAATATGATTAATAAAAAAAAATGCGAACGACGCAATTTTCAAGATATTTCACACATTACAAAGCATTTTTTCCCGGATTTTAAATAAATAATTATTTTTCCATTTTCTATGTTTCGATTTTTTTTTATACAGAAACGAGATTTAAGCAGATTAAATGTCATTCGTGACATGATCAAAACTTTGCTGAGTAAAACTAATACTTTTCGGAATAAATTTAGTTTGCGGAAAAGTAATACAAATCAAATGAAGACTGTGAACATGAACACACATGTGTATTTAAAAAAAAACTCATTCCCGATGTTTTCATGCGCACACAAGTACGACGTCAACGCGACTAGATAACAAATCAAAACAACATATCGTCAACATTGTGACAACTATCTCTCTCGCTTATATTCTCTCTTGATGTGATCTTTTTGTTACGAATTGGTTTTGTTCATCTGAGTTTAGAAACAGCACACGCATTTGAGCAGTGAGCTGTGATTGTAGTTTTTTTTTATTCATCTTTGTAGCAATCTAGAACTATTCTAGTATTCATAACTAAATTCGCAATTAACTCTGATTTTATGTAAAATGCATTTTGCGATATTTGATCTCATTTTGCATCATACACAGTAGTACTAAAGGCAAATGCAACCGAATATTTCTCTTTGTTGTGTTAAAACGACCGAACGAATGAACGAATGGAACAAAATTGAAAACAAAAGCAATAGCTGGAATATATTTGTATAATGTTTGAATTGTGTGTATCAAATGCGACGAAATGAGTCAAAGTATTGTGGAAAAATTATTGAGCAGGTATTTTTGTCAATTGTATTTCATTGGCTTTGCTTCATAATACGATGTCAATACTAATCGTCGTCCATAGCATGAATATTTTTGTTTGCCAACTTTTCCCAATTGGATTTTTCTACATTTCCTCATACCTCTACTGATCATCGGTTTGTCAATTACTACCAATGAATACATCGATTGTATAGCTTGTAATTAGAAACTTCTGAAATTGTCAATTGCTCCCGCAAACAATATATGTGCCTGGAGTGAGTTGGAAAACTTAATAGAATATACAGAATGCTGGCGACAGAATTCGATTTGGAAATGAATGAGTTTTTAGATACTACTGAATGTGAAATCCAAGATTTGTTTTTAGTACATTGTTCGTATTACTTGAAAGAAAAATCGAACTATCAATACTCTGTTGGGAAGACGCTTTATTTTAAATTTTTGACAAGAAGATAGAGCTCAATGACATAGGTAATTAATGACGATTATTCAAATGAAACAGGCCAATTGTTTCACTTTGGATGAATAAAATTGTTTTGTGCGAATTTCAACTCAGTTTTTTTTGCTCTTTTCATTGCTTGTGAGAAAATTTTCACCCACAAATGAATCCATAAGATATTCCAAATACTTACGTAAACCAATTATCACCCTTTTTAACGCGTTTAGCCATCACTATACCCACGTTGAACTATCAGTTGAAAAGCATCAAAGGTATGGTACGTATCAAAAGATACACGAAAAACACATTCGGTGCAAGAGAATTCACAGTTTTCGTCACTTACTGTCGACTGATTTTTCTCTCAATTTAGCTGGCCTTTTTCCGTACTTGTTTTCGATTCTTGGTTTTTTTTTTCTTTTCTATTTTGCTACACTAACATTATTCACTTCTCATATCATGATTTGTCAAAATTCGAACTGATTTTCTTTGGATTCGTTCGTTGCCAATCTAATGTTTATTTTTCGTTGCTTAAATGAGAAAAAAGCACGAAAACCGATGACTTTCTTTTGACACTCACAAGCACATAAAATCGTGTTCGGTTTTGTGTTTTTTTGTTCGTTTGTTTGTCTTTTTAAGTTGATGTAATCGATTTTTTATTTACAGCCATTGGTAATTTTCCAAATATGCACGCATGAAGATAGAGTGAACCAAATGTTTTTCGAAGTGCTGCACTTTTTCTGGCAATAGTAGGTTTGAATGAAACACAAAAAATAGAACAGCTGATGGCAATGAAGTAAAAAGCTGGGTACAGTTGAACTAACAAACTTCAAGCACGACTACAATCCAATCAATACAGAACAATTTTCCGAAAACAAAAAAAATCCCACTTCAAATTTTCGCCTTTGTATTCGTTTTCATATCTTTTCGTTCAGCAATCATTTGTTTTACTCTTCTTTTGTTTCGAGAAAACTCAAACTTCCACACAGAGTTTGTACACTGTTTAACTCGCACTGTATCGAACAAGGGCTTTTCCTTGTGAATATGCTCCGTTTTTTTTGTAACCTTTTTTCTCACTGTCACTGAGAGCGAGCGAGCGCGCACGACCGTACTACTCACAATCGCACAGCGGTATCTATGCGATTCTCAGTCACTTCTTGCTATTTCTATTGTGTATTTCTCTTTTCTGTATAGCTCTTACTGGCACACATACATTTGTACATTTGTTGTCGACACACTTTACGCTCTCGCGTTCTCTATTTTTCTCTCTTTCTTCGTCGTCACTGTGTGAATGAAAACGTCAAATGCGTATATTGTATAATAAAAAAAAATATAACGAAAGAAACTAATACAATCCATACAAATATAAATAAACGTGGACATATGGCATGTCACAAGCTATAAGCACATTGTGTATCCTTTTCGAAATGTATGAATATATTATAAAAGTCGCAATTTCCTACACCAAAATCATAATCAATGTTAAGCTTAGTTCATTCATTGGTTTGAATTGGAAACAATTTGCTTTCAAAAAGCTACTTTTTTTCAATTTCAAATTTAAAACAAAATTCTAAGTGAGACATTTTTACTTGATTGTAATGAAATTATCTTATCAGTTTTTCGACCGATTTGATTCACGTTCACAATTACACTCAAACATCCGATAGAATGCTTCGTTGTCATCGTTTTTTTGTTTGTTTTGTTTACTTTATTTCTTTGCCTTATTTTCGAAAGAATTTTTGGACTTTTCGGATAAAAACTTTATAAAAATCGAGCCGCTGTGTTGGGTCGTACGAATGATATTGCCCAGTTTCGCAATAATACAATACTATGAATTGACTTTTTACTACAGATTTGTTTTCTTTTCAAAGCGAAAGAATGTGTCGCCTCTCCGATGTCCAACGAAATTTTTATGTATTCGAATATACTCCGAATATGCAGATGAATGTGTAAACTTTGAAAATAACGAAAGACAAAAAATCAATGATTTCTTCCAATAAAATTCACAATAAAAAAAAAACGAAGAACAAACAAGAATTTTCAATGTCTAATTTGGAAAATAACCCAGTAGAGACTGAAATGCACAACTTCTGAACATATAGTGGGCATAGCACGAGTATTATTCCACGATAAGGACGGCGCTATGTGCAGAATTGGCAAGAAAAAGACAAGAAATGTCTAAATAAAGCTACGACGACACAGCGATACGGAACAAAATACGAAGTACGAAAAGCCGCACATTGAATATATGCCAGATGGAGAACTCTCTTGCCGCATGTATGCGCGATACGTGCAAGATAAACGACTAGCGTAGTGGATGCAGCGTGAGTCGGCAGTTGGGCAGAGTATGTGTTATGTGAACGCGATGCGAACTCTTCGTGAACTTCGCGCATCGCGCGTATTGGGGCACTGTCATTTTATGGAAACGACTAGCGGAAAACAGAGACAGAGAGATAAATCCAGATTGCATACTGTTACGTAAATCGTGGGGCCCAAATGTGTGCTGTCCGCTGTACAACTGTACATTGCTCAAGCTTAGAAGAGCGACAACAAGAAAAACCAGATGCAGTGAGACCTCAAAAAAGTAACTTGTAAATAGCAAACTCTTGATTGTTGAATTCGGCTATTTTTGAAGGTTTTATGAATTTATGCAAAGCGATTTCCGCACACGATGAAAAAAAAAGTAGACATTTAAATGGCCCAATAACCATTATTCCCATTATATATCGATGTTTATCGCAGGTTCGTTTATGAAGCGCTTCTTTCTTCAATTCTTTAATGTCCAGAATACCGATTTTGTGTGCGCACAATTTTCAATTAAACATTTGTAACATTTAACGATTTATGTAAGGCTGGTTTCTGAATATTCTCTTCTCGGTAGATATCTATGTCTTTTATCAATCGTTCTAGCATTTAAATTTCGAAGATTATCGCTTAAACTATTAATTCTCTTGGTATTGGTGTGTTCTAGTTTCTACATTGACTATTGCAGCTAGTGGAATCATCATGCGTGTGACTTGCACATGGATTAACAACAAACAACACCTCCGGAAAATATTTCTTTCTTTCTTTCTTTCTTTCTTTCTCTCTCTCTCTCTCTCTCTCTCTCTCTCTCTCTCTCTCTCTCTATTGCAATATGGTTTGATTGTTGTCGGTCTCTGAGTAATGTTTTCATTTCGTGTAACGATTGTAAATTTAATGGTTTTTGACATATTTGGTGATGAAAGATCGTTTTAGAGAAAAAAAAACAGAATAATTCATGCTGAATTGAAATTCCCCATACCATCGACGCGATATGGAAAAAAATTACATATGCGATTTAAAAAAAAAATCTTTCACCATGTACTAAAGTAAAATCAGCTTGTACTTATCATAGCAGTAGTTCGTTTCAATATTCTACATTGTGTAGCGTTTAATGACTCCATACTACAAGTAAACGACTTTTTTCTAGGCAATATATTTTTCATTGTGTTTTCGCTGTTTTTTTTTCTTAGAATTTCATATCGTAAATTGATTCTAAAATGACTCATTTTTACATTTACAGTTTATATAGCAATGATTGTATACAGTTCGCTATCGTATACAGCTCGCACAGAATTACTTTTTTAATCGACGATTGGTACTGTCAAGAAGAATTACTTGATGGTTGTTTGAAAATCAAAATTCCGTTTGAACAATTCATTGAAATTACTATGGAAGAAACTTGGACTTATTTTTTTTTCTTTTAAAACAGTAATCACTACTCAATAAAAAAAATTAAAGCTACAAATATACAGCGTGTATTCCCTGCGCACGCTGCGTTCATACCATTTTCGCGCTTATGCTTATTTTATACATAGTTTAATACAAAATCGAAGGTATATTTAAGGCATATTTTTAGCGTGAACCGCATGCAAAGCGTACGTATACGCTAAGTCAAAGTATTCTATACGTACGCTTTGCATGCGGTTCACGCGTAATTTTTTTATTTCACTGAACATGACTCCTTTGTAGTCGATAAAGAGCCGCGATGTGATACACAATATTGAGTAATAGTCACATTTTTTATATTAGAACATTCATATGACAGTGTAAGGTGAGTCATAACGACGTAAAAATCTTTAAACTTCATACTAATTAGCTCAAGAGGAGATAAAAATGGCAATTCACACGATATACATTTGTGTTACTCATCTTGATCTTGAGCTAAGAAATCTGAGGTATCAGACTTGTATATCGTTTTAAATCACCCTGTATAATCAAAAATTTGCAGCTTCATGTGTGTATTAATTTATATTCAAGAAAACACTTTTGCTCACTATTCCACAACCACGTAATTTTCCATTGTGATTAATTTAATAAAAATATCTTTAAGTCTGTATGGTACACACTGTTGATGTATGAAATGATTTACGATCGGGGAATTTCCAGAAAAAATAAATGAGTATCTCCCTTTTTGGCCACGCGAGGAAACAAGTTTCAGCAAATTAGAAATTGCAAAAGTCGATCACTTACCGCCACAAAACGAAAGCCAATAGTATCAAAATGATTCCAAAACAGCTGAACAAAGCGCCAACCATCATTGCCAAATTGTAATCGTTAGGATTTTTCTGTTGTAGCGGTTGAATTTTTTCGCAGTTCAATTGCAGCAAAATCTATAAAATACCATTCAAAATAGTTAATTGATTATTATAAAAAAAAGGTCATCCAAGTGATGTGGAATAGGTAAATTTACCTTTTGTGGTTCGGAATATGATCCGAGAATGACTTGGCGTGGATTTATGGTGCTAATGGATGCAGCCCGAACTTTAACTTCATAAAAGGTATTTGTTGTCAAGTTTGGTAGAACCATCTGAAAAGATAATGTCAATTGAATTGTTTAGCCTACGAATATAAAAAAAGGGAAAAAATATTTTCCAACCGCTGTTTCCAAATGTCTGGCCGATGCGTTTATTTTGATTTCTTGAAATTCGTGCTGGGCAACGGATCGAAAGCTAACAATATAGTAATCAATCGTATTGTAGTACTCCGCCGGACGTTTCCATCTCAAATACAATGCATCGAGATTGTGACAGGTTAAATTAGAAACAATAGGTGCGCTGGGTCCACTGATGTCCGTTCGCTGTGTGACCGCATCGGATGCTTCTCCTTCATTTTTCCACGTAAATGCCTTCACCGTGATTTTGTATTCGGAATATGGTTCTGTGGAATATCAATTGTTGACATGATACAAATTAGCTGAATGTCATCAAATCCGTGTCTGATCGTATGTCATATAATTGCATTAAATGGCTCTCATCACGGGCCAAACATAAACACTTACTTAGATCGCATAGGTCGTATCTGATCATTTCACCAGCGCCGGTGCCGCTTCGCACTGTGGCGAAGTATGTTTGATTCTGATGAATGTAGAACACACGATATCCCACAATTGCACCATTCAAATTTTCCGGATCCCGCCATCCTATTGTTATTGTTGTTGATGTCACTTCCAACACTGTCAGATTGAGCGGCTTACTTGGAACTGTTGAAGGATGCAGAAAAAAAATTAGTAAAAGAATATATCGTTTTGGCACAATGCTATCGTATTCAGATTCATATGAAAAGATAAAAAAAAAGGTTCGAAAACGATTTTGACTTTCAGTTGATTGGACATTTCATTTCTGTTAACAGTAGACAGTTCCAAATTGTTTGCTGATAAACAAAGGGATCAGCGCATTTTCTTGTCCCCGATTTTCAGGAGGTAATTTCGATCTATCAATGTATAACACGCATGCAACAATAGTGATACGTGACTTGAATTTTAACAGCTTCAACATGTCGCTATTGATTTTTATGAAGAAAAAAAATTGTGCTCTAAACCAAATTTGTATTCTGTTATTCTGCATGGTTTTTTCTGCCCTTTTCTCGTGCAATACATTTATTGTATCAGCGGTCATGATATTTGCATAGTACAGCCAGGTCAGTTGCAATGGTATAAACGTTCTTCACCATATTTGACAAATACAAAGCGTTTGGTTACAGGTTCGCCATAGAAAAAAAAGTGTTCGATACGATGTGATGATACGGCATTTCATCTAATAATTTACATTTGCTATATTCCGTAACATGGTTAATTCAAATTATTTTTCGGCCAATATGTGCGCACGGTTGCTCAGTCGAACAATATTTTTATTTCGATAATAATCCAAATAATTCCGCAATATACTGACCAATGCGCCATTGCCGCACACGAATCGAGTAAAAACCAACCCATGTGTTTCCTATCCGTGTTTTTTTCGTTAAGCTGATAGTGGCATGAACGTAACATACGCATAATGAAAAAAAAAGAAGCAAAAACGAAGCAAGCGACACTGTGATCAAAAGTCATAAAAGTCGATAAATTTAGTTCAATTTGTGTGTTCCCACACAAGTACATCGCATAGCCGGGCCAACATTTTGAGAGAAAATATACTTTGAACATGCTCAATGAAGCAGCGGACTTGTAGGCACACTCGTGGATTTAGCATTTCACTTGCTTTGGCGATTCGTGAGTTGCCGAAGCATCATATATGCAGTGCACTCGATATTTAACGTGAAAACCTATATTC